GATAATTAACGCATGCCCATGAGATAATTAATGCATGCCCATGAGATAATTAACGCATGCCCATGAGATAATTAATGCATGCCCATGAGATAATTAACGCATGCCCATGAGATAATTAACGCATGCCCATGAGATAATTAATGCATGCGCATGCAATTATTATGTCGTGGCACCACATAGCTAATTACTGTTGTCATTTTGGTGCAGACTGTTGTTTACATGGATAAATCTGTATTAAACAAGTTTATTTTGATTTTAATAAAATGAATAACATTGCAACGTCAGCACCTTATGYTAGGCATGAGGAAGCTATATCTTAGCTTTATGTGCAGCAGCTATAAGTCCCAGGTAACAACTGGAGTTGTTTATGTGTCAAAAAAGCTTTTATTTTCTTTTTATGAAGCTCAACTTTCAAAAGTTGAGCTGAGGAGCAGGAGGACAGGAGCGCTCCTGCGTTAGTCATTGCGTGGGCACAAGTTATTATCTCGTGGCCACATGATGATTTATTTTATTCCACGTCACCAGACGGGCTCCGTAGCTTCTGATAAACCCTGAAAAAAAAGAGATGAGTAAAGGTCTGCGGATACTCACCACAGATAGAATACAATCAGAGACTGCTTCCTCATTGTTGGGGTTCGAAGAAGGTCCAAGAACGAGTGCTTCTTCTTTAGTTTCTCTTCAGTTTGACCAGCCTGTAAAGATCAAACATGACAAAAAGCTGAGTCAAACTTTTGACTGAAGTGAATGCAGTGAATGTTTAAATAGTTTGCATGTTTTACTGATAGCCTGTTATCCCAGCACTTTTATTCAAAGTGAGGCCTTAGATTGTGGAGTTACAGTGAGTGCTCTCTGTCACTGAAACAGCTCCAGCAAATAGAAAAAATGTTGTGTTGCTGGTTTCTGTTTATTTTCTATTTATTTATAGTACCTGCTTTTATGTCTCTGCCAAAGCTCATCTGACTAGCTGAATACTCACATCCCTACAACTGAGTGCAAAGCCTGCAGGTAATACTGTATGTAACAGGAGCGGCGCGTTGATCCACAGCCGACCTGGAGGTCCGTGTGAGCAGGGGCACCGGCACTGCAGGGCAGGGCAGCAGTTAGAGCTGGTGCCTTGCAGCGAGAAGGTTCCAGGGTTGCCTTGGGCCTGGGGTCTTTCTGGGTGGAGTTTACATGTTCTCACCGTGGGCGTGTGGGTTTTCTCCAGGTTCCTCCCACAGACCAAACACATGCATGTTGGGTTAACTGGTAACTAAATTATCCCTGGTGGGACTATGAATGATTATTTGTCTTGACTGAAATGTCCCTATGATGGGCTGGAGACTTATAGGGTGTCTCTCACACTGCTGGAGACAATAATGAAGYGCAAATCRATACTGAAATATGGATACCACCAATACCAGAACTTTATTCTCTAAAACTGATTTTAAAATAAAAATATGGATCCTTTAATCATTTCAGGTAGTGCACATCATTAACAGGAACACAGTGGAAAGAAACGACACTAATGAAATCTTGTCTAAATCATACGTGCTTTATGGGAACTACTTTTACTTTTTTCCCATCTGGGTAAGCGAAGTATGGAGAACCGTTTCATTCAAAATACAATAAATAAATAAATAAATAAATAAATAAATAAATAAATAACATAAAACCATGCTATAAATGTATTATTATATAATTGTTTTTCCATGGGGACATCTAAGTATTTGATGGAATATATAGATATGAATGGTTCTCCATAGCAAAGTGGCTCATGTAATATAAATTTAGGACACAATTTTTCAGTTTTATAGTCATAGCGTCTCATTGTTGTGGCTCAACACAACTAACCAACACTAACTGAGCTCTACCTGGTATTTCCTACACAGAAACAGTGTTTTAACACATCCTCATGAAAACACTGAAAAGTACTATGTGTACAACAGACTAAATATGAAATAAATTATACAGAAATACTATTAAAAGTAAAACTAAGAAAGTTTTACTCACTGTTGAGTTCTCTTGAATTCTGAACTCTCACACTTTCCAACAGGGAATTCCCACTTATGCTCAACATGCATTATATTACCACTGATATAAAAACTATTTTCATATTAAAGTGAGTAAAAATAACCATAAAATGGGGGGGACTGCAGATGCATTCACATGATAAAAATGAGCAGCTATCAGATAGCGTTAGCTTCTGATAGTGTTTTTTAAAACCTGTTTAGTGGTGTAGCATTTGCAAAGTTCATTTTTTTAGTTAGTAGTTAGCAAAGCTAACGTATGGTTAGCTGTGCCAAACACTTAAGTTATGATCAACACATGAAGACTAACGAAGAGGGGGAATACTTGTGTAAACTGCAGTATTTCACCGGCTATAAGGTTGCTTCTGTTATTTTCTCAAAGTGCAACACAGAAGTGAAAACGCTGAAATGTAAAGTGAAAATGTGCTTATTTCTGCCAAAATTGACTGATGTGGTTTCCAATCAAAAAAGAAAATCCCCACCTGACCACATCAATATGTTTGACTTTCAGAGCTGTTGAAACATCCAGTTTATCATTTGTAGGTTTCCTGTAGAATCCTATAGTCCTGAGTAAATAAATAAAAGAGAATCCTGGATGGTAATTTATCCTTGTTTACACAAACAATTAGTTGTATTACTTAGTTTTAACAGCAACTTGGTTTTCATTACACTTCTTACAAAGTTCATACATCAGAATGTAGGGATGCTGATAAATWATTAATCCAWCACCAATATTAAATCTGACAGTGGATTAAGAACATTACAAACCTTACAAAATAACACCAACATCCTGTGATTATCTGAAGTCTGAGGGAAGTTATTGATGTTTGTTCAGGTGAAATCAGCTCATGTTTTCTGCTGCAGTTCACAGCAGAACCAGTGGGATCATTTCACCTTCTTGTTTTCTGTTTTTGCTCATAACTTCCTCAGTGTTCAACATRTCACCATGAAATTTTAGGAAAAGATTCACATTCTGGTTTTGTAGGAAGCATCTTGTATCCTAAAAATCCTAATAAAACTTAATAATAACCAATTCAAAAGTAGCAGAAAAGGTATAAAATAACATTACAAGACAAACTGTAGCATCAAATCAACTTAATGTGTCTTAGAAAGTAAGGAAATTAAAACAATTTAAAACCATGTGGACATGTTGTAAACAAAGCTCCTCAACCAATGACAGCGTGTTAAATGTGTCAGGTGATGAAGACGAGCATCAAAACACTTTGCAACAAGCGCTGTTCTGGATAAAAAAACATAGTTTGACGTTTCAAATCATCAAATTTGGAAGAAGGGCAGATAAAATAATGTTCTTCATGGCAGCTTATCTCTTTAAGGGTCACTAGAAAAACTCGTGATTTACTTTGATCCTCTTTTCCAAAAATYRTCTCTTCAAAACRCATCAACAAAAATTAAAAACTGGAAGACGAGGCTGTAGCTAACTACCTGACRTCAGCACAGTTTGTTGAAACTCGTAGAAATAACGAAGCAGGAGGAAATTAAAAACAAACGCACCGAGCAGCCTSGYAAAATCTGGTCACAGCAGTTTGGGAAGAAAATGGCAGCAGCTGCTGACGAGACGTCAACATCCCTRCAGAATGTTTGCATTTTTATTTATTTATTTTTTTTTAGCTTAGATTGTTTTTTTATGTTAGATTAAGTTGTTGTAATCTCAGACAGTAGTGACACTCTTTATAATTCTTTAGTTGTTATAGTTGACATTTTGTAAAAATGAAACCAAATAATACAGCCTGATAAATTCTAAAACATGTTCCTACCTGAAACATCTTCAGGTCTTTGTTGATGACCTTCTTATTCATCTGTGCTGCCTTCAGGATCAGYTCCCACGCCTCCTGGTTTTGGTCATTAGCCATCAGCCAGCGAGCTGATTTAGGCAACACCCTAAAAACGTAAAGATTTTAGTGTCCAGCCTCTGGTACAACTCATTGTATCTCCATATGTTCCTGTCTACTCTCTTTGGTCCTCTCACTCTTCTTGGCTCACTTCTTCCTGCACTTCATTTTTCCAGCACCAGGTTTCCTGATCATCTTTTGGAGTGGGCAATCCTGGTTCTGGAGGGTCACTATCCTGCATGTTGAACTTGTTTTCTGCTCCAAACACACCTGATTCATGTTCTGAAGTATCTGTTTCAAGTTCTGCAGAAGCTTGGTAATAATCAGACAGTCATTCAAATCAGATGTGTTGGAAAGGAGAACAAGTAAAACATGCAGGATAGCAGCACTCCTGGACAAGGATTGCCAAGCCCTATTTCAGAAAACATTTCTGTACTAATCTCATTAATTTTAGTTTTATATTTCCAATTACACTGGGGTTCAAAAGTTTGGGCAGCATTGTTAATTTTCCAGATTTACCTTTATAAATCATTGATTGTTTGGATAAAAAAATCAATTATATATCATATAGAGGACAAACACAGTGATATT